TTCTATGTCCACTCCTCTTTCCTAAACACCTTGGTGCTTCCTCAGTCTGGCACACTTGCCCAGCTCCCCTGGCCACATGGTCAACCTTAGCACATGCTATTTCCCCCGCGTACTATGCTCTCCTCACTATTTTCCTCCCCCATTAGCTCCTGCATTTCCTTTGGTTTAAGTTTCACTTCCTTGTGTAAGCTTCTTTGATCAACCCACTTCTGTTCTAGCTTGGGTTCCCCTCTTGGATGTTCTCATAGAACCTTGTTCCTTTTACCCAGACCAGTGGTTGGCAAACTCATTAGTCAGCAGAGCCAAATATCAATAGTACAACAATTGAAATTTCTTTTGAGGGCCAAATTTTTTAAACTTAAACTATATAGGTAGGTACATTGTTATTAACTTAATTAGGGTACTCCTAAGGCTCAGGAAGAGCCACACTCAAGGGGCCAAAGAACTGCATGTGGCTCGCGAGCCGCAGTTTGTCGACCACAGACCCAGACTATTTACATCCCACTCAATCTGTGACTACTCCCTCATTTGTGGGATTATTTAACTTAAATCTCTCTCTCCCACTAGACCCTATGCCCCACTTCATGGGCTGAGGGGAGATGTCTTGGTTTACTTACCACAGTATTCCCAAAGCCTGGCATAGTGCCTGGAACACAGTAGATATTTACTAAATATGTTTTGACTGCTGAGGACAACACAGTGGCTCTCTGGTATTTTCTGGTAAGAAAATCGCCTATCTCATACTAGAGGCCCAGTGCATGAAATCCTGTACGGGTAGGGTCCCTAGGCCTAGCCTGCGATCAGGGCCATCTTCCGCCTGCTCGCCAGTCCCAAGTCCTGCCCAGCCACCGCCCACCCCAGTTCCCCGTGGTTCCCCGTTTGCCATCCAGCAATCTGAGCCTGTGGGCCAGGGGGAGGGACCAAGAGGTCTGCCTTCTGCCCACTTGTCAGTCCCCAGTCCCACCCCGCTGCCACCCACTCCGGTTCACCCGTGGTTCCCTGTTTGCCATCCAGTAATTGGGGCCTGCGGGCTGGGGGGAGGAACCGAGAGGTGGTCAATGCACCTCATAGCGACTGGTTGATCGGTCGTTATGTTGTTATGGTCACTGGCCTTTTATTATATAGGACTAGAGGCCCACACATGGGGGGGGGGGTGTCCCTCAGCCCAGCCTGCACCCTCTCCAATCTGGGACCCCTCGGGGGATGTCCGACTGCCAGTTTAGGCCTGATCGATCGGGCCTAAACAGGCAGTCGGACATCCCTCTCCCAATCCAGGACTGCTGGCTCCTAACCGCTTGCCTGCCTGCCTGCCTGATCAGCCCCTAATAGCTTCTGCTTGCCAGCCCAATCACCCCCTAACCGCTCCCCTACTGGCCCGATCGTCCCCAACTGCCCTCGCTTGCTGGCCTGTTCACCCCAACTGCCTTCCCTGACGGCCATCTTGTGGTAGCCATCTTGTGCTGGCCATCTTGTGACGACATGGGGCAACCATCTTTGTGGCAGCCATCTTGTGACGATGTGGGGGTGGCCATCTTGTGACAACGTGGAGGCGGCCATCTTGTGATGACGTGAGGGTGTGATGGTCACCTAGGCTTTTATTAGTATAGATCAGTGGTTCTCAACCTGTGGGTTGCGACCCCTTTGGCGGTCGAACGACCCTTTCACAGAGGTCGCCTAAGACCATCCTGCATATCAGATATTTACATTATGAGGTCGCCTAAGACCATCCTGCATATCAGATATTTACATTATGATTCATAACAGTAGCAACATTACAGTTATGAAGTAGCAACGAAAATAATTTTATGGTTGGGTCACAACATGAGGAACTGTATTAAAGGGTCACGGCACTAGGAAGGTTGAGAACCACTGGTATAGATAATCTGATTTGGGTTTATCCTATTAAATATTTACAGGTCTATCTTGCTTTAAACAAACCAGCTTCATTATATGGGAATCTAGACTTAACCAAAATATAAATTAGGGTGTGCCTATGAACTCCGTTTAAATGATTTATACAAATTCAAAGTGCCTTATACTGAATTTGAGAAGACAGGCAAATTTCCTTTGCCAAATCCAAGACTTGTTGAAAATCAAAAAGCTTTAACTCTTGGAAGTGATCATTGTGTTATATCAGCTGACTGACCAGTATAGGCCTAGTTACAAGATCATTTACACCACCGCCTGGCTGGCGATCAGGGCCAATCGGGGTTGTGGGAGGTTGGTCAGGGGGAGGGGCTGAGGGGGGTTGGCCGGCTGGCTGGCCGGGGGGAAGAGCCGCCCCGATCGGGGTCAATGGGGCTGGCCGGCTGCAGGGAGGGACCACAGGAGGTTGGTCGGCCAGGGAGAGAGGATGCGGGAGGTTGGCTGTGGGAGCACACTAACGACCAGGGGGCAGCTCCTGCATCAAGTGTCTGCCCCTCTGGTGGTTAGTGCACATAATAGCGACCAGTCGACTGGTCATTTGGTTGCTTAGGCTTTTGTATCTATAGATAATAAAGTAGGCAAAAGAAACTTATATAGGAATTCATGTTTTCAGAAGAATAACATCTCATCACTCAATTGGGAAGACTGAATAAATTGGAGGGAAAGGAGTAATACTACAGAAAGAATATTTGAATATCTCCCTATAATTTATCATATGCTTCATTTATTCTCACAACAAATATTTCTTAGGGACTCTATCTGCTACCAGACCCCAGACTGGGCTTCTGGGGAACCAACTGAAAGTAAACATTTATCCTGGTGCTCCCATCACCTGATTTAATCTTCACAGCAGTTGTCAGTGAAATATTGCCACTTTTAGCAGAGAAGGAAATGGTAGCTTAACTGTCTTGCTGAAGGAAACACCACTATAAGTGATGGACAGGACTCAAATTTACATCTCCTTACTCCAGTTTCAGGCTCTTGCAACTACATTTGCTTGTAGGTCTCTGGGATCTCTAATTTGTTAATCAAGGCTCTCAAGAGAAATAAAGATAACTTATGAAGTTACAGCACTAATACTTTTTAATCACTCCCCTATGTATCTCTTCTCTTCCCCTGTTTGTCCCTTTATTATTCTCAGTGAATAGGAAACTTTCCACCAACAACCTTACAAACACACTTCATTTTCACTTTTTCCTAATGGCACCTAGTGATTTGTATGTAATTTGTGGACAGACAGAATTAAATCAGTCTTCTAGTTTCCTTGACGAACAACTGGACTGAAAATCTGCTTCCCTTTTATATCACACTAGAGGCCTGGTGCACGAAAATTCGTGCACTTGGCGGGAGGGTGGGAGGAATTCCCTCAGCCTGGCCTGTGCCCTCTCATAGTCCAGGACCCCTCAGGGGATGTCCACCTGCCAGCTTAGGCCCGCTCCCTGGGGAATTGGGCCTAAGCTGGCAGTCAGATATCCCTCTGGTAGCCTGGGAGCCCTCGGGGGATGTCCAACCAATGGCTTAGCACTGCCACTGCACTGGTCAGCCATGATCTGGCTTCTGGCTGAGCGGTGCTCCCCCTGTGGAAGCGCAATGACCATCAAGGGGCAGCTCCTGTGTTGAGCGTCTGCCCCCTAGTGGTCAGTGTGTGTCCTAGTGACCAGTTGTTCCACCTTAGGGTCAATTTTCATATTACCCTTTTATTATATAGGATGACTCAGGTTATTGCTTTATTATTTGGTGCTTCATAGTACCAGAAAGCTACTCAGACTTTAACTTTGGATATTTTCTCCCCAATGCATAAAAGCCCAGTAATAAAAGGTATAGCTGACATGATCTTTTGCTACATAGTAAATACTGATTTTAATTAAAAGGACCTTAATTAGCCCTGGCCAGGTAGCTCAGTTGATTAGAGCGTCCTGCTGATACACCAAGGTTGTGGGTTCAATCTCTGGTCAAGGCACATACAGGAAGCAACCAATGAATGCAAAAATAAGTGAAGCAACAAATAGATGTTTCTCTCTCTCTCTCTCCCCTCCTCCTCCTCTTTCTCTCCTTCTCCCCCCTTTCTTTTTCTAAACTCAGTAAATAAAAAATAAAATAATAAATGGAGACACTAATTAATAAATGTCCCATCAAATGAATGTGCAAAATGTGTAAATAATGCCACATGTAATGCCAATAATATTTGGCCACACAAAAAAATAAAATATTGACACATGATAAAAAAATGGATGAACCTCAAAAACTATGCTAAGTGAAAGAAACTAGTACAAATAGCCAAATACACAATTTCATTTATATGAAATGTCTGGAATAGGGAAATCTATAGAGACAGAAAGTAGTGGCTGTATAGTACTGGAGGAATGGGTGGATTTAGGGTAGAAGCTAAAAGATCCAGGTTTCATTCCAACTTCTTTTTTCAAAAAATATTGCATTTTAACGATTTAAAATAAAAGTTAGATTATTGTTTGGCTTTAAATACCTATTTCAAATGTCCTTTACCATAATATTCCCAAACACACACAAAAACATGTTTTTCCCAATTATCTTCCCATTTAATGTAAAATTATTCCTGTCTAGGAGAAATATGCAAAACTAGATACTTACAAAAATTACAACCTAGAGTACCCCACTCCCAGTGGCTCTGAAAAGATAGGCATTAATTATTATTTTAAGTTTTCTTCTAAGAAGTCTTTGGGGAACCAGCCAAGTTTAAATAGGGTAATTATAGGTCTATGGTTGCAATTTACATAAATTATAGAAACATAACACCAGACATTTATCTAATTGAAGAAAATACGGTGTTTGGTTACATATTTAGAGGAATTCTACATGTGGTTTGTGCCATTCTCTTGAGAATCGTATTCTCTTGGGACAGAATATGCTAATAGTGTTTAAAAATTCAGTCTTGCTTTACTTCTTGAAAACTCAAAACATATATTAAATATAAAATACTATTTGTATACATTTCTTTAATAAAATAGTATTAAAATAATATAACTCCATAATTCCTTCAGAAGATATTTATCCACATCCCTAACAGAGATGTCAATCAGTTACACTCACCATTGTGTGCTGCTGCTTTCTTTAAATGTGAATGAACTCTTCACTCTCCTAGTCAGTCTGCAATCATAGGTCCTATGACCTTAGTTGAGTTTATGTTTCCTGCAAATATAATAACAATGTAAGATATTTAATACTGTCAATTTTTACAAGTATTTTATACTCTACATAAGTGTGAAGATGCTATTTCTATAAAAATGCATATTAGAATTTAGATTCTTGTAGAATTGCACATAAGTTGTCCCAAATATTTAAGCTACAGAAATTATTCAAGCAAAATTCCACATCCCTATTTCCTACATAAAGAGGTCTGAAATAGAGTCAGATTGCAAGTTTTATGTGTGTGTTGTTGTTGTTTTTTAAAATAGTAACATACAAGTCGGTCTCATTGCCTCAAACAACCTCCAACCACAGCCTATCTACAGTAACCTAGGACACTTACAAGACAGGAAAATGCTTCATGCCCTCACACTGGGACACTGCATCTTGGAGATTACCACACCAATGTTACTGGTACTCATTTGTTAAACTTGCTTAGCTAGCAATTACTTATTGATCAACTTGTGCTTGCCAGAACTGTAACTGATGCAGGGATTAAAGATACACATATATCCTGCTTGAAAAGACAATCAGGCAAAGGAGGCCATCTAGTAGAGATTCTGAGTTAGCAAAGGCCAGAGAGGAAGTTGGAGTGGAAGGGAGCGTGATAGGAACCTAGGTAGAGAGGACAATAAAGGAATAAAGATACCACTGTGAGAAAGCAAAAAGATTTATGCTGCAGGGAAGCACAGCTGGTCCTGTGCTGTACAGGGTGAGGCAAGCAGTTGAGAGGCAGACTGAGCTGAACCACAGGCCTGACATATCTCCTGCTTGAAAAGATGAGAGATGAGAATTTAAAGACTTTAGGTAGAGTTTGTGTGTGTGTGTTTTTTTTAAACAAAAACATTGTGTTTTTTTCTTTTGCCTTACAATTTGCCTTTAATTTTCAAATGGAGACCTATACAGCAGAAATAAAGGCACAATGTGTAGATGGATTTAGAGGATGGGAGGAAGCTTGTTCAAATACGTGTAAGTTGACATTTTCATTCAAGTATAGAATTAACGTAGAGATTTCTAAATGGGTCACCAGCTTAAAACATCACCTTTAAAACAGTGAGAAATAAATAGCTATTATCTTGTGCCTTTCTTCTCCAAGAACTTTGTTTAAATGGTCATGGCTGCCCCTCCATGGAAGGCAGTTAACTGCTGTCACCATATCAAGTTTTAACCAGACATGCTTTTGTAGCCATCGACCCACTCAGTCCATCTCATTTCCAAGTTTCCCACATAGGCGAGTAGGTTCTGGTTAATAAAACTTACTGTTGTGTGAAAGACATCAGGGAGCGAGGATGGTGTGACCAGCCACCTTTTTGGCCAACAGCATGGTCACCATCAGCATGGCCCTCTCCGCCTCCATGTCTTTAGGATACACTGCCCCGGCGCAGCAGCACTCCCTTCAGGCTGCTGATTAAATTGCAACCTTGGGGCACAGTCTTACAGCAGCATCTTGTGTGCAGAGAGAAGGATCAGAGAAGGAATGCACATACCCCTTATAAATAAAAATTCCTCACAGAACAGGGAATGTCTTAATACTAAGGAAGCAACAGTCTTCCTGTTTAAAAAAACCAGACAACTTAGGAGGGTCTGGACTAAAGTTCTGTACTCAAACAGAGGGAAAATCAGGCCTCAGAACGTCTGGCTTTTTTTTTTTTTTTTTTTTTAAACCTTCATTTCCTTTTACAAGAGTCCAGGAAAACCATAGGCAAATTAAAGGGGTGGAGGTGATTTAAGGGCCCATGTCACCCAGTTTTCAAAATCAGGTAAGTAAAGCCACCTTTTCTGTTTAAGGTGGTGAAGTACATTCCATGGCGAATGTCTGATAATAGCATTACATTTTCATTTTCCCACGGAACCTGTCAGTTCATCCATGCCCAAGAGGCTGCATCAGGAGACAACAGGTTTTTCTAGGCAGAAAAGATGAAAAAACTGACTTTAAAATTTAACAGTCAAGTGGTTGCTTTTCCTAGAGACACAGCCAGAATACAAATAATAACAAATCGTATCTCTTAGTACCCAAATAAACCAGGGAATGAGTGAATTTAGAAACAGTGCCGCACCCAGCACTGTTTTCCTAAGGTTCCGTTTACACGTATGATGGTGGATGTTGGGTCCATATCACACATTCCCTTTACTCTACAACAGAGGTAGGAACCTTTTTTATGCCAAGGGCCATTTAGATATTTATGACATCATTTATGGGCCATACAAAATTCTCAATTTAACTAGCCTGCTAGCCCTAACTGGTTTGGCTCAGTGGAGAGAGCAGCAGCCTGCAGACTAAAGGATCCCAGGTTCGATTCTGGTCAAGGGCACATGCCCAGGTTGTGGACTTGATCCCCAGTGCTGTTTCTCTCTCTCTCTCTCTCTCTCTCTCTCTCTCTCTCTCTCTCTCGCTCTCACACACACTCTCTCTCTCTCTCCCACACACACACACTCTGAAATAAATGAAAAAATATATTTTTAAAGTAATGAAGTACTAATAAATATTTCCTTGTTACCAAAACAAAAGTAAAAATAAAGACTTTAGGTAGAGGCTGATTCAATCAGATGTGCAATTTTAGACCAATCGTTCTGGTTTCTGTTATAGAAGGTGGTTTTTAAGGATATGACCTGAAAGCAAGAAGACCAGTTAGGAGACTTGTTGCAAAAATCTAGGCAGGAGATGGCTTGGGACTTCACTATTCTTGGTCATTGTCAGCCTAGACACAAACAAGGCTGTGTCACAGCAGAGAGAATTTCAAAGGGAAGAAGGAAAGAGATGGGAGAAATCAATAATAGCTGCTGAAGAAAGCTATTGCTGTCCTCCTTCCCACCACAATCCTGTTTTAAATGTGTCAGTGATTTAAATTCTCTGAAAGGACAAATAGTAAACCATGAAATGATGCTGCCAGGTGTTTCAAAATAAACCATGAAATGATGCTGCCAGGTGTTTCAAAATAAACCACATAAAGAATGGAAACGCTTCCAATTTGTAATTCAGATGCAGAAGACTTATAATAGTTCACAATTTTTAATCCCCTGTGAAGCATTATAAGTATTTTTTCCTATTGGAATGATTTAACAGAGGACCACAGGATTTGAAATGGAGTGATAATGAGAAGACTGAATGGCTTCAGATTTCTTTCTTTCTTTTTAAGATTATTAGTTGATTTATTCAGTAACAATAAGCCAAGTCACAGTGAAATAAATTACTTGCATTGAATATATAAGCAGTTTATTGTCTAAAAAGATCCCATTTAGCAAAGATGTATGAACTCACTATATTGTGGGGTTGTATTGGCCTTTAGCATGTAAAGCTGAGCACTATAATATAGAAAACTCACTTATTCGGGAAAAAAAAGATGTATGTAACAAAACTTGATCTTCTCCTCATCACTTCACCCAACCACCAACTTTCCTTCTGATTTGCCTCTTTCTTTTGTGACATTAACCAGACGGATTCCAAACTTCATAGTCACATTTGACCTTTTCCACTTTGTAATTTCTTATATCCAGGAAGTGACCAGTGAATTCCTATAAAGTACTTTGTAATCCATCACTTCCTGCCTGCTCTCACGGTGAATGGCTTAAGATACTCTTTTTCCATTCTAAGACTAGTTTCAGGCAGTATCTGGTGTGTCAAAATTGGCTCCATAACATTTAAATGCACAATATTGTTTTTAATGTAAAAAACAATTTAAATGCGTTTAAAAATAAAAATTGAAATCAAGCACTTGCAGAATATCTAAGACACCTCCTTGAAGCTTAAGGCTCTGAGAAAAGAATCTAACACTGGACTAATTTGGCACTTCATAATCTCCTCCCCCTTTTTTTTGTAAAAAAACACAGACCCTCAGGAGCATATACACAAACAGTCCAGCAGAGAGCAGCAAAACATCACTAACCAGTTTTTTTAACACCACCCCCCCAAGCAGCTTTTCTATATTGCTTACCAATTATTTTATGTTTTTAAATTATAGTTGATATACAATATTATATTAGTTTCAGGTGTACAACATAGTAATTATACATTTATGTACCTTACAAAAGGATTATCACAATAAGCCTAGTCCCAATCTGGCACCAGACATAGTTATTACAATATTATTCAGCAGAAGAGTCATGTGAACATATTTGTTTATACATGTATATGAATTAGTCTATCTTATAGTAATCATGAAATTGTAGCACTTCTGTTTAGGCAGACTAGATTTCTTTCTCGAATTCTGAGGTGGCCGAAGGCTTTTGGATGGATAGAACCTGAGACAATAGCAAGAGGAAACAAAGGTGGGCCACCATGTCTTTTTTTAAAAAATATTTTTATTGATTTCAGAGAGGAAGGGAGAGGGAGAGAGAGATTGAAACATCAATGATGAGAGAGAATCATCAATCAGCTGCCTCCTGCATGCCCCACACTGGAGATTGAGCCTGCAACCCAGGCCGATGCTCCTGACTGGAATCGAACATGGGACCATTCACTCCATCCACTGAGCCAAGCCAGCCAGGACGGGCCACAATGTCTGAATGTCTTAATGGGGTCATTGGCTGGTGGTCTGCCAACTCTTTTACAAAAAAAAAATTGTGGTTTAAGGTACAAAGGGATTCTTTTAAAAAAATATGTTCTAACTCTGTGCCTGAGTTTTCTCATCTGTAAAATGAAGATCATTGCACCTAAACCACAAGGGTTTGTTGGGCAGATTAAATGTAAAGTGAGTGGACCACTAAGTGTTCCCTGTTTTATTTTTTTTTTAATTATGGCAAAAATACATAAAAAATTTTTACCATCTTAATCATTTTAAGTGTATAGTTCAGTAGAGTTAAGAACATTCACATTACGTATAACCAATTCTCAGAACTCTTTTCATCTTGCACAACTGCAACTCGATACCCATTAAACAAAACTTCCCCATTCCCCCTCTGCCAGTCAGTGGTAACCACCCTTCTACTTTGTCTCTGATTTTATCTATTCTAGGTACCTTATATTAGTGGAATCATATAGTATGTCTTTTTGTGATTGTCTTATATACTTAGAATAATGTCCTCAAGATTTATCCATGTTGTAGCATGTATCAGAATTTCCTTCCTTTTTTTAGGCTCACTAATATTACATGTTATGTATATACTAGAGGCCTGATGCATGAAATTCGTGCAAGGGGCTCAGCCCTCACAGCCCCGGCTTCGCCTGGAAGGTTGTCTGACTGTCCAGTCTAATTAGCATATAACGCTTTTATTATTATACTAGTAGATACCTGGTATATTCTAAAACAGGAATTTATAAAATAATTTTGTGACTACTGCTTCCAGTCATGGTGGAATAACAAAGATCAGACTTATCCTCCCACTATAAACTAGGAAACTGGCCAAAATATGTAACACAGTCGTATTCAGACATTAGACAACACGCAGTATGGACCATAATTCCCAAGGGAAGGAAACCAAAAGGTAAGCTTTACAACCACCACAGATATTTTATTAGAGGCAGTCCCAGGCTGTGGATGCAGGAAGGGTGATGGAAACAGAGCCCAGCACCCTGTCTGAATTGAGAATCTGGGGAGGCCAACGTTGTCAGGCTGAACCTTAGAGAATAGGGAGCAATGCAGAAAAACAGCCCCAGATATCTGAATCGGAGGTCTCCTTGACCATGCATGTGTAGGTGAACCTTCTTGAGGCAGGCAAAGGAAGACTGGGTAGTTGTAAACTGAATAATACTCAAAGCTCTTACTGGGTGAAGAGATGTGGAAACTTCAATTAGCCGAAGTCCTCAGTAGCCAATGTAGTACACAGTAATCAACCGAGCCACTCAACAGATATTGAGACGGGTCATCACTTAGGAGTAATATTGAACAATTCCCAGAATAAAGGCTTATTTACATCTATTGTAGCAACAATTAAAATAGGCCTTGAAAGTATCAAATTGATCTGTATAATTAGTTTACCTGCTTACCAGAACAAAGCCTAAGATTCTTTAAAGTAAAACAATATTCAGACACTCAAATGGCCAGTATCCACCAATATTACTCACATGTCAGGAAAATGTTGACTCATAACCAAGAGAAAAAAAAAATCAATAGAAACAGGCATAGAAATTATAGGAATGATGGAACTAAATAGATAAGAATATTTAAACAGCTATTATAACAATGTAAACATATTTAAATGAAAATATGAACATAATGAGGAAAGAATTGGAAGATACAGAAAAGGACCAAATGAAACATCCAGAGATGAAAAGTAATAGTATCAGAAATGAAAGTTTCTCTGGTGGCACTACTTAGATTAGACACTGATATAAAAATAAATTAGTGAGCCCTAGCTGGTTTGGCTCAGTGGATAGAGTGTTGGCCTGGGGACTAAGGGTCCCAGGTGTGATTCTGGTCAAGGGCACATGCCTGGGTTTCAGGCTCGATTCCCAGTAAGGGGCATGCAGGAAGTAGTCAATCAATGATTCTCTCTCATTGATGTTTCTATCTCTCCCTCTCCCTCTCCCCTTCCTCTTCAAAATCAAGAAAAATATAAATAAATAAATAAATAAATAAATAATAACTGAACTTGAAGACCTAGCAATAGAATCTATAAAACATGAAACACCAATTTTTGAAAGATTGGGAGAGAAAAAAGAATAGAGCCTCTGTGACCCATGTCCATTAATTAAAACACATCATTATTAAAATGCCAATTATCTTCAAATTGACCTATATAATACAATACCAGTTAAAATATCAGCAGGCTTTTTGTAAAAATTGACTAGCTTACTCTAAAATTTATTTGGAAAAAGCAGAGGATGTAGAATAGCCAAAATAATCATGAAAACAACAACAACAACACAATAGTTATTTACACTACCTTATTTCAAAAAGTGCTATAAAGCTGCACAATCAAGA